TCCGGCAAATGCCTAAAAAGTGGTATATATACTCTACATCTGGCCTCTTTGATCAAGTATAAAGTGATTTGGTTAGTTATGGTCATATGTAAACTTCTATGCATGTGAGTGTGTCTGTATCTGTATTTATATGTGCATGTTTGTGTTCGCTTATACACGAAACTCGAAGTGATGGCTCAAAGAAATTAGGACAGCAACAAGGAACGTCTGCTTTTGGCGATCAAGGTTTGATGACCCCTATCTCCCCGTTTTACATTTAAGTTATAACATGAATCTTCTTATAAAGCCAATCGACAGCTAGTCAAGAGGAATCCGCCGTCGTCTTCTGATGGAACCGACTTTCCAATCTCTTCACCCAACACTTCCACTCGAAATGGAATTAAGCTTAACAAGAGATTCCTCGAAACCCAACTTTTCTTCGTATACATCCTAGGGTGACTAAATTCGTATGTACTATTTATTTACTATTATAAACTAATTACTATTAGAAAATTACTGCTAGTTTCAAAGTATATACACATCGTCAACTATAACGGCAAAACATGTTTACGACTTGTAAGGCCTAGTTTGCTTTGAAAGTCGCATCTGCACTTTAATCTACTGACACGAGTTGTTCAATGAAGTGGTATCCTTTCGCCACGATGAACACGACTCGATTCGCAATCCACTTTGGGACGATGCTGAGACGACGAAACTGCGATTAAGAGGCAAGTCTACTCGAAGTTTATTGACATGCTACTTTTGGCTAACTTATGCTTTTGTCAGAAAACTCCTCAATCAGCCTTTACATCAGTTTTTTTATATTTAAGTAGAGTTTCGAGACTGCCAGTAAATCAGTAGTATGAGATGTATTCACCCAATTTCGTTTAAGCTGATGAAGGACAATGATTTACTGGTAATCTCGAAACTCTATTTAAATGCGAAAAAATAAGTAACGTAGTCGGTTGTCATAACAAATATACGTTTGCTTCATCGACAATCCCACCAAAAGAATGGCAGAAGGCCTGGCCTTCCTTGAAATACACATCTGCCCTGTGACCCAAGGGCACTCGTGACAACGTGGCCGAGTGGTTGACGTGTCAAGCTCCCATGTTGCACTGTCACGGTTCGACTCCCGCTGGGGGTGTTGATAAGACCGATGCGAGGTCGAAACTGAAGTCCACTGGTGCCTGGATGAGAACAAATTTTGGGAAAGCAAGGCTATGTGGAATTGAATGGAAACGTCAGCTCATTGTGGAAAAATTCTTCTTCTACCAGTCCTTCATCACCTCAAACGAAATTGGGTGAATACATTTCATATTGTGTTTTTTTAGTGAAAAATTTCCGATAATTTCGAACACTAACAACACCGAATATTTCTTTTTCTCATTGTCCTGTTTCATCGGATGAACCGTTGAAAATAGTAATTCGCGAATAGTTCGAGTAAACCCAACCATATTTCTCTTCTCGTCAGCCATCTTGTCTCCCGAGCGCCTTCCAACCAGCCTTCCAGCCGCTATGCATCCCAGCCCTCTTTGCTCCAGTTGCCTCTTGGCAGGTCTTGTACCCTTCGCCCCAACCGCCTCGTTCCACTGCCATGGCAACCAAGGCTTGGCTCCAGCTCATGGTTGTCCTGGCTGCTGCTGCCAGACTCCACCCGACTTCCAGCTCGACTCCGGCGTCAAGAGCAGGCCCCAACTTTCTTCACGTGTCGTCGACGCTCTGCTCGCCTCGGGCATCTCGCACTACTCGTCCGAGTCCGGGGCTGCGGAGTACAACGCTCTGCCCATCGGCCTGCGGCCCGGACTCGAGGCCGGCCAGGCAGAAGCGACCGGTTGGTTGGAGTTGGAGCGCACGAAACCGGCCCGAAAGGCTCACTTCTCTCCTGCGCCGCCACCACCACCGCCAGCGCAGCAGGCGGCAAACACGGCGGCCGAGGGGACTCGAAGCCGCGGCCAGGCCGGACTGGTGTCGCTGCATCCCAACTCCGTCCATCAGGCGGTGATGCTGGCTCTTATCGCGTTGCTCGATCGCGCCGTCTTGCCCCTTGACGACGGCCGACAGCTCCTCACCTCCGCCGCCTCGGGATCCGTTCATCTCATCGGTCTGCCTCAGATCACCGTAAGTGACAAGTGGACACACGCCGAGACACGGAAACTGGGCCATCTTTTGACGGTATTCCCTCAATTTCACTGCCAGTTCATCACGTCAAATTGTCTGTACATTCTCGGACAAGTGAAGATGTCATTATTTCGACGATTAAAAAAAAATCTATTCTCTACTTCATTTTCTATCGGTGCTTATTCCACGCTTCCAATCTGCAGGCATGTTGAACCACAAGCATGAAGGCTTTTAAGCGAGTTTTTGCTATTCCAACTACGGAATGTAGAAAAGATGTAGTCTGACCTCGCTTTTGCATCTGGTTCCTGTTGTCAGGGCGATTTAGTTGGACGCACTTTG